AGCATGTGATTTTACAGTAATGATTAGTAAATTAATGTATTAACTCTTTATTTGTGTGTGCGTTGGGGGGAAGCATGGATCGAGTGAAAAGCCTGGCAGTAGGCTTAAGTGGTTTGTGGATCTGAATTTTTGAAGCGATATTGCGTGACTCCCCGCAGAACTAATACGGGTTTCTTAAGGCGGACTGAAGCACTACGACATTTTTACTCATAATTAGTAGTTTATAGATTGGGACATGCTGTTAAGTCAGTGGGCAGAGAGGTATAGCCTAAATAGCTTGTGTGACTGTGTGTATAAACTTATTAACGTCCATGGGTCTCCCACACACCCCAAAAGAGAATCCCGAACTCTGGATGCAGGAAGAACCCCCCACCAACTTCGCCATTTAGATTTCTGCTGTTTAGGACACTGGAATGATTTGGGCACTCCGTTGCTCCACTAGAGAAATGTCCTAGGAACAAAACCCTGAACCTTTACGAGAAAAGAGCGGAAGCGCCTGCTTGGGGAGGTGAGCATATAAACCGTGAAACAAAAGGAACTCCTTTAAAGCTTTGGTTCCTTTTACTTCCAAGCGCAACCCAACAATTACCCGGCTGGATCAGACCAAAAAAGTCCATCTGGCCTAACCAGATGTCCTGCAGCGCTCAGGGAGGGGGTCAAGGTAATGGCCATGCTTTCGTTTTCTGTCCCCGGCATTCAGAGGTAGACTGCTTGGCATGGGGAGGTTCTACAGTGCCGCGGAAGCAGCTAAGCCCCCATCGAGGGCACCCGTCTTTCCTGGGGAAAGCCAAAAAGACGTTCGCCAGGGCGGTGCCTGCGTCCCTTCCTCGACACGTGCGCAAAGCATTCCCTCTTGCTGCCAGAACCGTTGCTTCCCTTTGAGCTCAACCCTGTGCGTGGTCACTAGGAAGCAAGTCCCACAGTGCTCAGTGGGCAGCTTACTGTGTCCAGCGCAGTGTCCATGGGATGGAAGCTTTAAATAGGAGAGTGATTTATCCTATGCAATAACCGCAATGAATCTTCCCAAGGTGGTTTCGGACTTCGAGAAATAATTTTGCGCTCCTTCTCGCGTAGAGATGCAGAGTGTTTACTAATCTGGTCCAGTTTGGATAAAGGTGCGCGCGTGTCCCAATTACACACACACACAAACACAATGTGGTACTCCAGCCAAGTACGGCAGGATCTATAAGAAAGATCTCTTTCAAGATGCAATTTAAGAATCAGTAGATACAACGTTGCGCAAGAAATTTGGGCTTAGGGTCCCTTTCTTCTCTTCTTTCTTCCCGCTCTCGTCGCACCCCCCCCCCACCCGCCCCCAGCCCCACGACGACGCTTTATTTTTCCTGAATTAAGAAGGTGACATTATTCTTCTCTTCAAGTACTTCTGTTAATATTGAAAAACGTGCGTGTGCATCTCAAGCGGCCGCGCTCCGGCTCCGCCGCCATTTCAATATTAATGAAATTGTTTAATCTCCTAAATTCGTCGTGTTTAAGTTACGTTTTGGTGAGTTATTGACCAGCAACGAAAATGCAGTTAATGTGGTGTGTGGGGGGGTGGGGGTGTGTGTGTGAAAGAGAGAGAGAGAGAAGTTTATAATAAACGATCCACTCTCTTTTCTTTTCTTTTTTCTTTCCTTTTCTTTTCAAAAAACTCAATGTCATTTAGAAATAAAATAAAAATAACACAGTGTGGTGTGGAGAGTGTGCAGGGGCGAGTTCCTGATGCTCACTCCCAGAGAACTGCGTCTAGGCTTGGAGCCTTTAGGTGCGAGACAGAGGTGAAGGGATAGCCTGGAATTGTCACGTTGAGCCCGCTCGGCGTCGTTTCGGTCCGGATCTTCCTTCTAGAATAGCGAACCAGCAGCTACGTGGTACCAGCTTCAGGGTTTCCTAATGAGGTCTCATCTGCTGATCTCTCTGGCTCGCATCCTACAGGATGAGGAATTCCAAAAAGCTGCATTTATGACAGCAACCCTGACCCCCGCCCGTTTTTGCCTCATCTTAAATTTGCGTGGATGCCGATGGAACTGTCAAGTGGCAAGGCGTTCCACCGGATCATTATGAGTTAGGGGAAAGACCTATACCTCCTTCGGCGTGTCTTAAACCTCTATTGCCTCCCAGATGTTTTTTTTAAAATGTATATTTTTGAAACCTGGGTCACCAAAGACAATTTTTAAGAATGATTTCAGCTGTTCGCTGCCACTTCGTTTGACCGTTTAATAAGTTTCCTGCCGGCCCCGTCGGTCCTCTTTGTGCGCCTGGTTCCCCTGAGTTAAAAAAAACCAAAAAGGCCCTGTTCGTCTTCCTATGCTGAAGATATTACTGGCCTACTCTATAGGCTCGTTGTAAGAATAAAATCTGCCCAAGAGTATTAAAAACTGTTTCTTAATTATACTGGGGGCATATTTCGTGAAGAGGAAGGCTTCTGGGTTTTGTTGGTAAGAGAGGTAACTCCGCACTCTCGTCATTTTACTTGCCCTTTTCCAGCCGGACATTTGGTTCGCTTTGAATGGAATGTCTCGGAGAACTTTGGCGCTAAAGGAAGGTGGGCATGTAAGAGGGCGACGACTGCGCTGTCCTCTGAAAGTCGGATGCCCCCAGATCCCAACCCCAGGGCATGTTGAGGTTCCATGCTGGGCGCTGCCTGAGTCCTTTCTCCAGCATCCCTTCCAAGCGCGGCGCGTTCGCCTTTTCCGAAGTCCGCAGCTACATTAGAGGGGAGGATTTGGGGTGGGGTGGGGGTTTGTTTTTGTTTTGCAAGAGAGAGACTATTCTGCAATCTCTTTTTAGAATATCGCTTTCGCACGACTTTTAAACCCATTGCTCAACGTGTTGAACTGCTCACCTGTCACTTTCGCCGCGTCGTATCAACAGTCACACAAGAGGTGTGTAAGTGATTTACACGGGAATACAGAAGTAAGTCACCTCCTCAAGAGTGGAAAGTTTTTATTTAGATTTCAGCGATCCTTTTGATCCTCCCCCTCCCCCGCCGAGGACCAGAGCGTTGGCGGATGTCGTGGAGACGCTGGAGAGCTCCACAACTCGGTTGAGACGCAGTGTACATGTAGGTTGTCCTTTCACACGTTACTTAACTACGAAACCAGGTTTGCCACAAGCATTTAACGGAGTCGAGGCCATCCCGAGTCTCAGAGGACTCACATGTATTACCCACGCGTTACGATCCTGGTGTACACAATAAAGAAGAAACGTGCGAAAGGATCTAATCCTAATTACGCTTGTGGGAAGTTTCACGAGAATCAACGGCACTTACTTTACTTGGGGTGCCTACTGAATGTAATAAATTTTTGATCGCGACAAAAATCTGCTGAAATCTAGATACTTCAGCTTAACCTGCTAATGGATCGCACGGAACAGGTGAAATAACGTCCCGATCTTAATCCAAACAATACAACTGAGACTTTCTCTATGTACTAAGATCTATACTTACCTAGGAGTAAATCCCATTGAGTAGACATACACAGGATCGCGCTGTTAAATAGTTTGCTGTTATAGACGCGCTCTAAACATACCCGAGTGTCTTCTTTACACGTAAACGAGAAATGCCAGTTAGGTAAGGTAGACCAATTCAGCGGATCCGTTTTTCATAGGATCATAAGATTATTAATTCATGCGTGCATGCACATAACTCACGATCCAGCCACTTTTCAAGTTCCCCTAATTTCAGTGAAATGGTGAAATGGCCTAAAATCTCATCCACAGCAACAAGTACTTTGATTAGGTAGGATCGTGCACATGCAATTCCCGAGCCTACCTGAAACCTCCTTAACTGTTTAGCAGATAGGCAATCTCCTATCTCTCTCCGCTCCTCATGCCTCCTTAGAGGGCAAATTGCCAGAAAGAAGGAAGAAAGCAGCGAGGGAGATCTTCGCTGCTTTTAAAAGTGATGGGTTGGGGATGAAAGGTTGGCCTTTCTTAGCGAGGAAGATTCCCAAAAAGAAAAGAAGAGAACATTCCCAACCCCTCAAATAATAAAACAAAACACGGAAGGGATCCGAACACTTCTAAGTCTCCCTCTTCCCACTCTCCGGCCCGATTTCGGCAGCGTGCATGTGCTTAAGGTCTCCCTCCTCCCTGGCAATCCACCGGGGGGGGGACTTCAAAGTGGCTTAACATGTGGCTGGACCGTCTCCCAAGCAAATAAATAAATCCGCCCTTAAATAAATAACTCATCCCCCAACCCAGAGCGTGATTTATTCCTCCACGGAAAGACAGGGGTGGAAAGCGACTGCGCTTCGAAAACAAACAGACCCAAACGCCGCCAAACTCCGAGCGCGCACACAACGCAAGAGAGTTTCCCCTTTTCTTAAAAAGAGTCCTTAGTAACGCCAAGACAAGAGCTGGCTCGGATTTGGGCGAGAGAAAGGCCTTTCTAGCTGGGGGGGAGGGGGAAGGGGAGCCGGGGGGCGGGGGCGGGGTGGGGGGCGGCGCGGGACGGGACAGGGGGCCCAGCCTGAAGCTAGCTAACAATACAAATCAGGGAACAATGTCGAACAAGCAGAATAGGCCAGGCAAGCAATTGCCACATCAAACATCCCTCCTCCGGCTTCCCCATCCGCCCCCCCTTCTCTCCCCCTCCAGCCTCTCAGTTGCTTCATTTGTAAGTGTGAATTGCGGGCGAAGCGCCCCGCCAAGTCCCTGCGCCCAGAGACTCCGCATGCACACAACCCGGGCTGGCTGACTCGCACGGTTGCTCGCGCCCCCCTCTCCCCCACCCCTCTCTGCGTCCCTCGCGCACATCCTTCCCGGGCTGCGGTCCTCACCCCTTTTCCATTCCGGCGGCTGCGCTTTGGCTTCCGATGGCACTGCTTCCCATTGGCCCAAGGTGTCCGTGTAAATAGGTGTCAATGGAACCAGATTATGCCTTTCCGCCAGCCCTCTTGCGCCTCTCTCTCCCCCCTCCTCCCCCTCCTCCTCCTCCTGGCTTCTCCTTCATCCTCCCTCCTCCCTCCCCTCCTCCCTCCTCCCAAGGCGATTGTCATATGATAGAGAAGAAGTGGCACGCTAATGAAGCGCCCCGACAGGGGTCTTTTCTGCTCCAGTCGCCGCATGCAACCAGCAGATGATTGGGAGGCAGGAGATGGAGGAAGCGGCGGCGGCAGCTACTTAGCTCGGGCTGCTGAGCCCGCCGAGGAGGAGCGCCTGGCGCAGCCCTCGATCGGCTCGCCTCGATCTCTCCTCCGGGGCTGCGCACAGCCGGACCAGCCCCGCTCCACGCCGGCTTGCGCGGGGACAGGACCTCCAGGTTTCCCCTCAGCCCCTCCGTCGGAGCCCAGGGAAGCAGCGAGCCGGTCCGGGGGACAGCAGCGGGCAGGCGTCGGGGAGGAGCGGGCCCCGGATGCGGACTCTCGGCTGGAGGCAGCGTTAAGGTGAGCCGGAGATGTTGGAGGGGGCGAGCGGAGGAGCTCTTGCTCCTCTCGGATGGCTCTTCAGCTGCGCGGGTCAGAGGCTCCGCCGAGGAGGAAGTTTGGAAGCGGGGAGGGAAACGAGGAAAGAAATGTCCCCCCGCTCCCGCGTGGGTTGCTGTCCCGTTGCGTCCCTCGTACTTGACGGCAGGGGGAGGGGGATGAACTTTTATGAGTTGCGGACCGGATGGTGTGATGGTGTTTTGTGAGTGAGGGAGTGAGTGAGAGATGGACTCTGGAAGGGAGTTTACGCTTTCATGGGAGCTGGGGGGGGCGTATCGGAATAAATTTTTGTACTTTGAAACCATCGCTATAATGGTCGGAGAAGGAGGGAGCCCGTCTCTCCAACAGTGGCGAGGAAGCAAGTCCCTTTGAACTCCTCAGCGTTTACTCACGAGTAATGGAGGGGTTTTTTTGGGGGGGGTTAAAAAAGAAAGGAGGATCGGTTTGTTAGAATTCCTACAGGGCAAGCACCGGGAAAGCGCCGTGAAACCGATTATTATAATCAACAATGATGTATTTATTTTGGTGGAAAATGAGGATGGATCACTCCTAATGCCCCGAGCTACAGTTCTGAGGAGGGGCGGTGGTTTTGGTCTGTCTTGAGTTGGAGGTGAAGCCCCCTCCCGTTCCCTTGTGTGCGTGTGTGTGTGGGGGGGGACTTTTCTCAGATATCACCCCAGCAGACCTGCCCACTCCTGCAGGCTCTCGCCGCGAAAAGCAAGGAGACGGAAGCCTACAAAATCCCCGCTTTCACCTGTAAACTACTTTCTGCCCCACCCCGCTATAGATATAGAGATCTATTTGCTTAACGCGAGCTCTCTTACCGCCCCTCTCCTCAATCATCCCCCCGCCTTTGCAGATCTCTTCCGAGCCGCCGCCGCCGCCGCCGCCAGCATGCCTCGGCCGGGCCGCAACACGTACAGTGACCAGAAGCCTCCTTACTCGTACATCTCGCTGACGGCCATGGCCATCCAGAGCTCCCCGGAGAAGATGCTGCCGCTGAGCGAGATCTACAAGTTCATTATGGACCGCTTCCCTTACTACCGGGAGAACACGCAGCGCTGGCAGAACTCGCTGCGCCACAACCTCTCCTTCAACGACTGCTTCATCAAGATCCCTCGACGGCCGGACCAGCCGGGCAAAGGCAGCTTCTGGGCGCTGCACCCCAGCTGCGGGGACATGTTCGAGAACGGAAGCTTCCTGCGGCGCCGCAAGCGTTTCAAGGTCCTCAAGTCCGACCCGCTGGCGCCCTCCAAACCGTCGGAAGCCGCCCAGTACCTCCAGCAGCAAGCCAAGCTGCGCCTCAGCGCCCTGGCAGCCGGCGGCTCCCACCTGCCCCAGATGCCGCCCTACAACCTGGGCGTCTCCCAGCCGTCGGGCTTCAAGCACCCCTTCGCCATCGAAAACATCATCGCCCGCGAGTACAAGATGCCTGGCGGGCTGGCCTTCTCCACCATGCAGCCCATGCCCGGCGCCTACCCGCTCCCCAACCAGCTGACGACGGTGGGCACCGGCTGGCCCCACGTGTACGGCTCCGGCATGCTCGAGACGGCGACCCCCATCTCCATGGCCAGCGGCGATTACAGCGCCGCCTACGGGGTCCCCCTCAAGCCGCTGTGCCACGGCGCCGGGCAGACTTTGCCGGCCATCCCGGTGCCCATCAAGCCCACGCCGGCCGCCGCAGTGCCCGCCTTGCCCGCCTTGCCCGCGCCCATCCCCACCATCCTCTCGAACTCGCCGCCTTCGCTCAGTCCCACGTCCTCGCAGACGGCCACCAGCCAAAGCAGCCCCGCCACCCCCAGCGAGACCCTGACCAGCCCGCCCTCCGCCCTCCACGCCGTGGTCGCCGTCCACTGACACCCAGGCCTGAGGGAGGGAGGGAGGGGCGCTGGCTGTTTGGCTGGCTGGCGGAGTGGGGGAGACAGCAGGAAAGGAAAACCCCTCACCCCACCCGTTCAAACCCCCAAGTCGACGACGTTTTCCTTTATTTTGACCCTCCTCAAATTTCCTGGTCCACCCGCCTGCTATATTTATTCGTCGGAAGGGACTGAGCGGTGGGTGCTTTGGGTTCAAATACCGCCCCCCCCCCTGCAAAAAAAGAAAAAGACTTTACCATCTCCCTCTCACTCCTGGGCACTCGGCTTCCAGAAGAACTCGGTGCGTCTCAACGCAATTGCAGGCCCATGCTGGAGAAAGGCAAAATCAAACTTGTTTGTTCATTTCTGTCTCTCGTCCATCCTCCCCCCACCTCACAACCCGGGCAGGATTTCTCTTGGGGAAGAAAGGAGATAAAAATCCACAGCTATCACAGATGCTTCTTCCCTCTGCCCCCTCCCCCTCTTTCCCCCACAAATTGGTTTCACTTTGGAGACTTCTCCACAAGGTTTGTTGTCCAACTTTTAAAAAGTTCTTTGGGCAGGGTGACGCCATGCACTGAAAGCGTCGCTCTCTCGCTCTCTCTGAAACGTCCAAACCCCATGCCCTTGCTTTCCATTTAAGGCTTTTTTAAAAAGACACCCCCATCCCAACCCCGGCCTTTCACGCAAAAATTGTGCTCCGGCAAAGGTGGGGGACAGGCCCCGAGGAAGAGGATGCCCGATCGAACCAAAGTCAACTGCTTAAAAAAAATCCCATTTATTTTAATGGGACGTTTTCAGAGCAATTCTGTGTACGTTTCCAAATGAGACTTACTCCCAGGTAAATCTGCAGAAGATTGCAGCCTTAGTCCTGAGGTTTTCGGGAGCAAATTCTTTTTCAACCCTATGAGATTTATCTCCGATTAAACATGACTTCGGATCCGGCTGCTGTTAACTTTGCTTTGGGGAATACACACACAAACTAAGAGCTAATTTAGCTGCGATCCTATCCGCACGTACGTACAGCCTCTGCTGACTACAGCGAGACGTACTTCTGAGGAAACTCCCATAGGATTGCGCTGTTTACTGAAGCGCATAACTTTGGCTGGATCGGGTCCGTTATGTTTACGAAGTCGTTTAAACGCCACCCTGAAGCCCCATACCCTGGCCCGTTTTCTATAACTCTTATAATGTGAAAGTTGACTTTCCGAGTTGAGAAGGGGAGTGATTTTCTAATCTTTTGATTGTTTCGAGGATTTTTTTTTAAAGTCATGGATTATGTTTTTAACGAGGGTAACCAGACCCAGTACCAAATGAGATTCAGACTTCCAGATTTGGTTTTAAACGTGGCAACTGAGAGGCCTGAGAGGAACGCCCCTTAAAAATACCCTTCTTTTCTGTTGGAACTACTGAGAAAAACTGAGGAGGGGAGGGGGAACTAGGAGGGATAAACTGTACATGTCTGTGAATAGGAATGATTACCAACTGTGTAAAATGCACTTTCGTTCGATGTAACCCTTTCCTAGCTGTAGGTAGTTTGCTGGAATCCGTCCGTTTTTGAACCGCTTAAGTTAAAAGGCGAAAAGCAAAAGGAGATGCAGAAGCGCCCATGCGAAGCTGTTAAGAACCCGGTGGCCCGATCTGGCAGGAAGTTGCGCTGCAAAGAAGGAAGCATGCGCGAGAGCAGCGGGGGAAAGGAAAAATGCTCACGGATGTGCTCTCTTCTTGCGCGCCCGCGATTTCAATGGGGCTTTTGCAAGAGAACTTCCCGCTGGATCGGGCCATGTGTCGTTGTTGGGTTTTTGTTTTTGTTTAATTCCTGTACAGAACCGAGCATGATATTTAAAATATTAATGTTCCTGTTTCCCTCCCAGCATGCCTGTTTTCGGACAATTGTTTGGGTTTTTTATTTTTTAAAGTCTCTACGTTAAATTATGAAACTAGCCGTCCAAATAATATTTTCTCATTAAAATATGTAAAGCCAGGATGGGACCTCATTGGTCGTCTTTTTCAGCAGAAAAGTCCCTTATTTGATGCATTGCAGAATTGCGCTGTTTCAACGTGGAGAGGACATAAATAAACAAGCGGGGGCGGCGGAGAGATAGAATCTCTCCCGGGAGAAGAAGGAAACAGCCTGAAGAACAAGTCTGTGTGTGTGTGTGTGTGTGTGTGTGTGTGTGTGTGTAATCACATTTCCTTTGAAATCCATGGGTTTGACATAGATTAAGCGGCAATTAATGGAAGGGGGGACGACTTCCTACTTTCCCCTAATCCTTCATAATGCGTTCGTTCATATATTCTCAAGATATTACTGATACAAAGCACAAATGAAGAGGTTTAATTAGTAGGAAATATGCGTGTGATTCTTGATTCTGATTCACACGTCATGATATGCCTCGTAACGAACTTTGAAAGGAATATGTTTTCTAAAGACGGTATAAGCAAAACATTACGAGTCTTGGGCACAATTCAGCCAAAGATGCTCAGTTAAGGCTGCGATCCTAAAGCACACGCAGAAGAGGAAGTAAAACCCACCAAACTCAAAGGGACTTGACGTCTAAATCAGCAGAATTGCCACAGAGATCTCATCCGAGTAGCTTTGGCGTGAATAGATCCCATCTTATTGCATTAGATGGGAATTAGTCATGACTAATTTTTGCAGAATGCTACACCATCGGACTGCAGTTCTTTCCCATAAAAGCCCATATGTCTTTTCCCCTTTGCGGGAGCGAGGATTCCATCCTCTGGACTCCATCCAGTTTTACCTTTTCGCCAGACACCTCCCGGGATAGCAGCGCACGGCCGCCAAACTCACGCGCATTTCTTCCCTTATTTGCCTCTGCTAGAAACGATGCATCTGGGCATTGTCATTCTCCTCCTCCATGTCAAATTCACGTGGAGCCCAATCCTCTGAATAGTTACTCGGACGTTAGCCATACTTTTTACTTATTCTCGGGGTAGTGTGCATACCATAGCTGTGATTAATTACCATCAGAATGTGTACACACAGTGACAATCAAATATTCTTATTTGGCAGAACTTTCAAGCAGTAGATTTTAATGCTTTCTCTTGAAAAAACCTATAGCCTTTGAAATCGGTTCGTTTAAACGGTATAATTTGAATCTGGATCTGTCTAGATAATTCAGAGCAGTTTTGGAGCAGGCCTATCGATCTTAGCCGAACCGGCTTCGGAGTATGTAGACTGTGGATGGCACCACAAAGACTCTGAAGTGCTTAAAAAGCGACAGTCTGGTGAGACCTCAGTATGGGAGAATTCTTCTCAAGATTTCAATTTTTAAATGAGCATCCCCACCCCCATCTTTTGAATCTGCAGCTGGGAGGCACTGGAGGGTTGAGGGCAAGGGACGGATAATTCCCCTTCCAAAATGTAACGCGGTGCTTTCGGGCGCAGCTGAGAAGAGAGGAAAACGAGAATGTTGAACTTCTCATGCGGCGGATCCCAGGGATCCATTCGCCAAAGGGACTTCTCCAAATTGGATCTTCCAAGTGGAGAGATGCCGGGGTGTGTGCGTGTGCAAATCCAGTGGGTTGATTAAAATGCGCCGAGCTGCTAAAGGCTGTCAGAATGGAGTCAACGCGCCCCATTCATCAAACCCAACCCACGATTATATCGCCACGATCAGCCTCGGGGGGAAGCAGTCAAGACGCGTCACTGGATCAACGGGCTCTCCCCGCCTCACGCCACAAAGTTTTCCCAAACAAGCCACGGCCCAGGTCTGGGTAGGGCGAGATCCTCTTCCACATTAATCAGTGGGGCTTAACTTCCAATCGGGACGCAAGCGACGAGAGACGCTTACATCTCCCGATCCCTAAATCGTTAAGCCGAAAGCGATTTTGCAAGCCGCTCCTGTGCCTATTTACTTGGAAGTACTGTAAGTCCCACTTAGTTCCATGGAGCATTCCCAGCTAAAAGTCTGCACAGGGATGCAATCCCAAACCATTTACTTGGGAGTAAGTCGTATCCTCGCGCAACACTGAGTCTAGTAGGACTTTACTTCCGAGTAAACGGGAAGAGAAGCGGCGATATTTCAGCACAGCGCGCATTTGGGAGTAAGCAAATAAATAGGCTTGACTAAGTTCTAGGTAAGTATGTGTAGGATCCAGCCTGAGTGAGTCGTCTGCTGTTTCCCCGCACTCCAGAAACTCAGGCTGCGATTTTAACCGTCGAATTGTTTTAAAACTTCAGGTTTAGGGCATGGGAGTAGCCACGATTTGTGTGTGTGTCTGGGGGGGGGGGGGAAGAACCGAGCTATCTGCGACGAGATTGGTCAGTTACTTATTTTTATTTATTTTCTAGTTGGGGGGAGCTCCCCCCGCCCCTAGCTCCCCCCATGGTTTAGGGTTCGGAAAAGCTTCCGTGTTGCCCTGCCGTGTAAAGTGGAGAGCATGAGAGGCTTGGTCTGCGCAAGGACTGAGGAGCCTCACGCAACAGGAGCAGCCAAAGAGCAGCAAAAATCACCCACCACTAACCACAAAATCCCGACCCCCGTTTCACTCTGTGTAGCTAAATACTTGCGGTGTCGTTTGAATCAATTTCATCTATAAGCGGGATGGACGAGCACCCGCAGAGCAGGAATGGCCGAGAATGTGGATTTTAGGAACTCTTCGACTCTTTGTCTTGGTGAACGTAAAAAGCGGAAGGAGTCCAGGACCCCCGCCCCCACTCGCTTTTTGTCTGCTTCAAAGCACCACACAAACTGTCCGATGTGGCTGGGCTCCAAAAAGTCACCACCCAAAGGCGGGTGGGTTTAAGAGAGCTCCATTAAAATTAAATAAAGTCACGCTAAACGCCCATGCAAAGTTGCCACCGGATTATATCAAGCTGTGATTTATTTTGTGTGTGGGGGGGGGGTAACCTCCGAGTAAACCCGCAACGGATCAGGTACATCTCACAAGTATATTTCGTCCGTTAGCTGTAAGGAGGATGTGATGGAACTCAAATGCCAAACAGAATTTGGTTTCAGTTGGGTGGGAACAGGCTTGGAAATGCAGCGCGATAAGGTAAAGCTGTACAGTCAAGCGCTCGCAGGACCCAGAGAGTTTCCTGGCGCAAGGAAGGATGCGCAACAGCGGGCAGTTCTTGAGCATCCCGGTTCTAGTGTACTTTTTCAATATGCCTTCCTTGCAATAGCGCACCTGAAGGAAACTACTTTTTCCTTTCCTTTTCCTCTCCCCCCCCCCTTGTCTAATTCCACTGAATAAGCTCGGGCTGTCCCCCCCCCTTAATAATAAAATAGTAATAGTAGTAACAACAACATCGGCGACATCAACAACAGCTTGGCCGGTTCCACCCAGGAGAAAAGAACCAATTGCAACCCAAAGCAACAGGAATTTGACACTGCAAGCGAGCCTGCTTTCTGGGAAGTTTGCAGGTTCCTCCTTGTGTTTTCAACCCAGGTAGGTTTAGACATCCAGCCTTCCAAGTCTTTGTCCAAAGGGAGGATGCGCAGAGAAGCGGGTGCTTCTTAATAAGGAGTAATAAAGAGGTTTGTTTGTTTATATTCTGCTCAATTTCAAAGGAAGAGTTATTAAATTCTTAGTGTGCATATATGTACACACACGCACACATCGAGAAGGCAAGCGGAGGGTGTTTTTCGGTGGAAGGCGCGCGGGGGGGGGGGCGCATGAGAAGTGCCAGTCTGTGAAGCCTTGAAGGGGCTGTATTTGTTTCTTTTAAACTAACAACAAATTATCTAATTAATATGTTTCAATTACAGCCTGTAAAAAGGAGGCTTTGGACCGCCTGCCGTGGGCTGACAATAGAGCCTCTGAGTCCAACTCTAGGAGCTGACAATAACTTCACAGCTGTTTCTTTTACTTCCCCTACTTTTCGAGGCATGGGGAGGAGCGGCAGGAGGAAGAAAAAAGAAAAGAGGAGGGGGGAATAAAGAAAAAGAAAAATGCCGTCTCCTCTCCAAGATCACTTGAAACCGGCGCTCAAGAAGTTATGGAATATGTCGTTGTGCCAGATTCGGAGGCTGTTGGGAGGATGGGGGCGTGCGAAAGAAAGAAAAACGACCAGGAAGGAGAGAAAGGGCACAAAACCTTTTTCTTTCTTTCTTTTTGGCTTTCTCTCTTCAGCTCGGGGCTTCATTTCCCCCTCCCCCGCAAAAAGCCCTCCGACGTGTGAAAGGGCCCCATTGAAAAGCATTAAACAAATATATTAGAATTCTGTCACTTTCTCCAATTGACTAGATCAAAACCCGGGTCCCAGGGCACTTCATTGACTTGAATAGAAAAATGCAGAGAATGGTAAAGCGAGGCCGGGCCACCGATGTAGATTTAGGCCCCTCTCCCTCCCCCACCTTCCTCCTCCTCCTCTTCCCTTCCTGGGACAAAAAGCCTGCATTTTCACAAACACATTTCTGACTCAGAGACTAGGAAACCACTCCTGAAACTGCTTTGGAATTTAAATGCATTTTCTTTCTTTCTCTGTCTCTCCCTCTCTCCCCACTTCTCTTTTCCTTCCCTTTTAAGAAGTGGGTGAAAGTGGGGGGGGGGAGCAGGGCTTCTGTTTGCACTCTAGTGTAAGTTTCGTTGGCATCCTGTTTGTGAGGCAACAGAAGGGGTGCCAGGACTCGGGAAGATTTACCGGCAGGGTATTGGGTGGAGTCGGTAGATGCCTTCATTAAAAATAAAATAAAATAAATAAGGAACAATGTAGGAGAGGCTGCAAAAACTCTAGGAAGCACCTGCAGTTTTCTGATAATCCAGAGCAACCCCAGTCCTAGGAAGTAAGGGACCACTGTAGGACTTACTTACGAGTAACAAGCCTAGATAGGGCTGAGCTGTTCGATTTGACAACAAGGCAGGAGGGTGGGAAGCTAACCCTTCGCAGTCTCAGTTGGAGCTTACTCCCAGGTAAATGTGCATATTTCAGGACAGGAGTGCTTAGGATATCACTGTTAGGCTGCAGCAGAGGATTGCAGCACAACAGTTTAAGCCTACTCAGAAGTAAGCACCA